TTTGTAAGTTTATTTTGTTATGGACAATTTGGGATGATGAAATAGAAGAATGCAATGATATTTCAGAAGAAAAATTTTCTAAAATTTTTACTTTACGAGGAAGATATGATGAAAAATTATTAGAAGAATATGATGGTGCTTTTAATGATCCTATTGTGTTAAAGGATGATATACGAGATTTAAAAGATCCGATATGTATATCTTTGATGAAATTATGCTATGAATTAGAAGATAATAGAAGTGAAAAATTTATTAAAAAGATTATGAATGAGATGAAATTTTGGATTTTTGCATCGATAAAAGAAAATAATAATGTTGTTGAATATAGGAATTTAGGAAAATATCAATCATTTAAAAATTATTTGATGATACGTAAATATACTATTGGTATAATTCCGTGTTTATCTCTTATGGAAAATGTAATTGGATATGAGATTGATTCTGATATTTTTAATTATCCTTCTTTGAAAAGGATTCGTTATATTGCTTGTGTTTTGTTTAGTTTGACTAATGATGCATTTGGTTTTTGGAAAGATATCAAGAATAATTGGGTGAATTCTATAATAGCGATTTCACAAGAAAATAGTATTAGTTTTGAAGAAGCTGGTAAAAAAACTGTTAGATATCATAATGAGTTAGTAAAGGAGTTTGATATATTAGTAGATTCATTGAGTCAATATTATGATTTTAAAGTTAAGAAATGGATACAATCTGTGAGGGAATTGATTAGGGGACTTGCTGAATCTGGATTGAGAAATAAAAGATATTTTCAAGATAGAAATAATAATGATAAGAAATTTAATATGGAATTTTCCATAAGATACTATTAAAAAATTTTATAAAAAAAAAATGTTTGAGATACCTGATGATAATGAATATAAAATTCGAATGATATTGATGGTATTATCGATAATTATTTTGTTAAAAAGTATAAAGAGAAATCAAATTTTATATTTATTAATATTATTAGAGTATTATTTGTTTGATATGATTAATGATAAATTGGAATTATTAAATATTTTATGATGATTAATAATTGATTTCATTTATAAATATTATTAATTGACAGATATTTTTTTTAGTAAAAGAAAAAAAAATGAAGAAAAAATATATTTATAAATATGATATAATTTTTAAACCTGACAATCCTAAAAATAAATCTTATTACTTGCGTATTGAATTTATGCAAGATAAGAGAAAACATATGATTGAAAAGTATCATAGGAAAAAAGAAAATCTTGAAAGATTATTAGAAAAGTACAAATTGGAATTTAAAGAATATAATGATAGAATTGATGAGAATAAGAAAAAAAGAAAAGAGATTGAAAAGATATTATTTGATGAGAACAATAGTTTTATAGTGGATTACGAGTTGTTGAAAAAGTTAAGGATATGGATGAAAGAAGGGAAAACTAAAATATATTTATTCTAGATATGAATGTTTATTACAAGGAAATAATTTTATCCTTTTAATTATATTAAATTAAATACAGATTTAATTTTTTTCGAGTCAATATTGATATTACAATATGAAAAATCTAAAAAATATTTAAATTTGTAATTTGTTTAAATTATATCATTATTAATAATTATTAAAGTTTAAATATCATTCTTTTATCGAAATTGAAATTTATCACAATGTCAGAATTATCTTTGTTACTGATTGAAATTTTCATGATGATATGTGAAAAATATCTTTACAAATATTCATATGATCTTTTTAATCTCATGATGACAAACAGAAAAAATTGTAATTTGATCATACCGGTATTATATAAATTTATGAAACATAATCTTAAAACTGTTGAATGTTATTTGAAATTATTATATAAAGAATTACCAGAAAATGATCAAAATTACATCGATATGTATGTTTCAGAAAAAGAATATGAATTTGATGATGATCATGTTGAGGTTAAAAAATTGGTTTGGAATAAAGGAAAAAATATGTTTAATTATTCTTCAATGATAAAGTTAATTGACGCTTATCATATTTTCTAATATTTATTAGAAGATGTTCATGGTACTAGAATTTTCATGAATTTATTATTTGAAAATAACGAAAGGGTATATTTGTATTTGAATGGTGGCATTGATGAATCTAAACAATTTAGTTTATTTATCAAGAATAAGATAGAAAAAATTTTGTATATTCATATTTATGTATATACAGAGGAATATCGCAATTTTTATTTAAATTCATTTAAAGATTTGATTACAAAAAATGATGGATCTAGTGTTATTTGTGATTTAAATAATTCAAACATGATTATAGATTATTATTTTGATAATTATTTTTCTGTAGGTTTATTGAAAAAATAATTTTTTTTATTATTATTAGATTCAAATTATTAATTTAATATAATATAAATATTTCGAATATTATGAATTTTCAAATTAAAAAAAAATGTCTTTAATTTATTCGAGATTATCTCTTGATTTATATTATAATGTTATTGATATTATATTATACGAAATATTTGAGTTAGATATTTTATATGTAAAGATCCCGATAAAAACCATTGGAGGAATATTGTTCACATGTAAACATTTTTATCATTATCTGAGAAAGGAATTTGCAAAATATTTTTACAAGAAATTTGGATTTGATGAAAAGATATTTTTACCAAATTGTATTCGTAAAAATTGTAAAGATAATGATGGAGATAATATAACAGTATATTGTGGTAGTATATGGGATTTATTAAACGCTTATATGTATGATATTTACGAGGAACCAGAATTACCTTGTAGTTGGTATGGACATGTCCCGAATGTTATATTTGAGTCTAGAGAAATTTATTATTGCAATTATTTAGATTGTGATCGATATATTGATTATTACGAAAGAATGTATCATGTTAAATTATTTTTTTACAAGTTACATGATGATTATACATATTACCATTGTGTTGAAAGAAAAAAAATAAATGTATTTTCTTTGGAAAAGATTTTAGAAATAATAGATAATTCTATTTCTGATACAGATAAAGTTGTAAAGATTTTAGGTATTTCTAAAAATCTAGGAAATATGATTGATGGATGTATCCAAGGAAATATGGATTATAATTTAGGAATTTTATATTTTCTTTATTCGAAATTAGAGTATTATCTTCCTATTAGTTATAAAATTATTTATATATTAGTTTATCAAATTTTATATATGAAAACAGATATTAATTATTTAATTTGGAAAGAACTATTTTTGTATTTAAAATATTATTTGTTAAAATTATCAAAAGATTATAGATTATTGATAAATCAACAAGGATGATAATTGTTATTTATAATTTAATTTTTTATTTTTTTTTATTAATTTAATTACAATTATTAATTAAACGATTTATAAATATTTTGATATTTTTTTACTGTATTTGATTTATTCCAAAATATTTTATGAATAATATGAATGATGATAAAATTACAAGAGTTTGGACTGATGGCAGTTTTTTTGATCGTGGAATAAAAAGATCTGGTATTGGAGTATTTTTCAGTGATAACGATCCAAGAAATTTATCAGAACGGTTACATGAAGATCATAACGATAATAATCGAGCTGAAATATGTGCAGTTATCCGAGCTCTTGAGATATGTGAAGATATAAAGAATTTAGAAATTATTACAGATAGTGGATGGTATTGTGACTGGATATAATAAAAAACGTAAAAAACATATTGAATTAAAAAGAAGGTTGAAAATGTTGATTGATAATCGAAAAGGATTTGTGAAATTTATCGAGGTTAAAAGTCTTAGTGTTTATGGAAATAAACGAGCAGATTATTTAGCCAAAAATGGAGCATTTAAGAATTTTGAAGGATGATATTATTGTGATATAAATTGAATAGATCTAATATTTGATTATTAATTTTAGCATTTATAAATAGTTGTTTTATTTATTTTATTTAATTTTAAATTTGAAATATGCGTGTTGAATTGGATAAGAAAAATTTCAAATTAAAGATTTATTTAGATTCTTTAGAATCAAATTTAAGAAAGAAATACGGATATGAATCAGAATATATTTTTTTTAATGAAAAGAAAGTTTTTAAAAAAATACGAGAAGATGAATATGAAATTGAATATCTTAAAGAAGGAGAAACTATGGTATTTTTATCTTCTTGGATATTTGATCCTCCTTTAATAATAATGCAAGATAATAAAATTATTATCAATCAACATTGTGATTTATTTTTCAACATGATATGTTTTCATCACTTTGATGATGAGAAATCTTATGAATATTGGAAAAAGATAACAGAAGTTTTTATTAAAGATTGTGAAGAAAAATAATGATTTGATTAATAATTTAACATTTTTATAAATAAAGGAAAATTTCCAATTCATAAAATATTAATGAAATGGGAAATATTAAAGAAATTAAAATTTGTAATGATATTAAGTATACGTTTGATGAATGGCAAAAGTTAGAGATTGAAGAAAAAAAAGAATTTAAGCGTAAAGTACTTTTGTTAATATACCATGAAGAGATTAAATCATGGACAAAGATATGGGTTGATAATTTATTTGGTTACGTAAAAAATAAATGATTTAAACTAATATCGTTTATTAATTATCTAAAAGTATATAAAGGATAAAGAATATTTATATATTTTTTTAATTGACAAAATGTCTAATCATTGCGAGAATGAAGAATTACAGAAACAAATTAAATTTGAAATGAGTAAAGATTTAAAAGATTTATATTTGCAAACTATTAAAGATACTTTGATAGAAAAATATTATCAAACAACATTCGAATTTAAAGATCATATGATCATATTCAAATATAAAAATGAAAAATATAGTATTGGTTTCACTAAAGAATTTTTTTTATTTATATATCAGATTGATGGGTATTATAAATGTGTTGAATCGGAAAGCTTTTTGTATTTATGCATTGATTTTATATTTCAATAATTTTATTTAAAATTTATTTATTATTTTACTATATTCAACGATTTTATCTATTTTTTCATCTAAAGAATCGTTATTATAATATTTTATTTTTAAATTTATCATTATTTGATTTATTTTCAAAGTTTGATTGTTATTTAATAAATCATTATTTAATTTTTTAATGAGCGAATCTTTTTGTTTTAATTGATTATTGATGTATTGATTATTTGAAATGATCATTTCTTGATATATACGATGTGTTATTTGATGAAATATACGTTCGCCCCAGAAATCTATACTTTTATTATTGACGTTTGTTAACATGTTATTGATATCTTGTCGGTAAAAATCTGACCACATGTCTACCTGACCATCATTAAATTTCATTGGTCTTTCATTAAAGTTATTTACATAAAAAATAAAATTTCTTATAGATCGTTTTGCTGCGTATATATTTTTATTTTTATTGTTGAATTTACGAATCATATAATCTTAAACATTAAAAAAATTAGTAATTTATTTTAATGGTAAGTTTTACAAATATTTTTATACCTGTTGCTTCATTAATTATTTCATCAATTTTTAAGTCATTTAAAGAATTCATGTTTATTTTTAAAATATTTTAAGATATACTTTATTTATATATTTTTATTAAGATACGAAAATAAAACATGCTTTAATTAAAATAGATTTTTTTTTAGTTCTTCCATGATTAACTTAAATAAAGGATTACACTGAATTTAAACCAATCATAGGAGAACTAAAAAAAAATAAATAATATAAAATTTATTCGGTATTACAAAAAGTTCATCAAAGATTAAATTTATATATAATTATAAATATAATTCGTACATGATCAAAAGAAAAGATTAATTTGGATAATAAAGATAATTAAAAGGATTTTTGTTATTGTTACTATTAATAGAATTATGATTAATTAATCTTTTTCCAAGTCAATAATTTCAGGAAGATCTATTTCGTTATCAGAAATTTCGATAATTTCCGGATTATCATCTAAAGAAAACCCAAGTTTTTTAAACGATTCTTGTTGAGAAAATTCTTTGATAAATTCATGATAAATATTTTTATATTTTGGATTGAGGAATTTATGAAATTCAGAAAAATAATAATCTCGTTCTTTGATTTCTAATTTGAGATCTTTTTTTTCTTTCTTTAATTCTTCATTTTCTTTCTTGAAATCGAGTCTTTCTTTTTTTAATTCTTTGATAAATTCTTTTAATTCTTGATTATGTTTTATCAATCTTTCAATTTTTAATTGATCACGTTTAAAAATTTTTTTGTTTTTAGATTTTAATATTTTTTTATCGATAATGTTATTAGACATTTTTTTTGGAATTGATTAAACGAATATAAAAAAAATGATAGGAATGAATCTAATTTATAGAAAAAAAAATAAATATTAAAAAAAATCGTTTATAAATTTATTTATGAATAAGTTTTTATTTAGATGAAATAAAAATTATTTTTTATGAGATTTAATTATTTGAATTTGTAATAATATAAGAGTTAAATATTAAATAATTAATAATAAAATAACTATATAAATGAATCGAAATTAAAAAAAAAAAAAATGAACGTAATTGAGATAGTTTTAAAGTTATTCAGGTAAATTTACACAAAAAAAAGAATTTAAAACTATCTCAATTACGTTCGATTTTTTTTTGTGAATTTTCTATTAGTAAATGTGGTTATATTTTAACTACAAAAGAGATCCTTAGGGAATATCTTGATAAAAAAGTTGCTGATGGTATAAAGCCTTATTTAATAAATCAATACTGGAACGATATTAAAGCTTATCATATTTACTTTATCAATTTAAAAGAACATCTTTTAAAACCATATTCAGTTTAAAAACTAAGCTTGGACTTTCTTGTCTTATTGCTTTAATCAGCACATAATAAGCGATGGAGACATGTTAAATATTGTCCGAATTATGAATTATTTTTATTTAGTTTATTACAATCTTATTTTTTTTAGTTTAATTTCTTTAATTTAGTTGAATAGAACATAATTTATATTTTGTAATTTTTGGGAATTGAATATAAGGAATAATTTCGAAATTTTCATATTTTGATATTATATGATAAGATTTAAAATTATGTTATTTATATGTTTTTAAATTATTAATTATGATAAGAGAAATAAATATTAGTTTTATTATTATATGAAATTACAAATTATTTATTGATTAATAATTGATTTTATTATAAAAACATGAAAATTTACATTAAAAAATAAAGTGTAGAAAAATAAAATGTCAAATTGGTATTCTGACACTGTTTGTCCTGAATGCAAAGGCAAAAAGAGTTCTGTTTTTACAATTTGTAAATGGTGTAGGAAATGTGATTTTTGTATTTGTGGAGTTCAAGAATCAAAAAATACCCTACCTGTAAAAAATGTTATGAACGAGAAAAAAAGTTTTTGGATTATGAACGAGAAAATAATTTTTTGAATTATGAACGTAAAAAAGAGATTATTTGGTTAGATGATAATAAATCGAATATGCAAGAAGATAACTTTTTCAAAGATACAATTCCAAAATGTCTTTCATGTTCTTCTTATGGAAGACCTATTAAACATTTCATTAAAGACTGTCCGAAACAACAAGAATATAAAGATCGTTCATACGAACTTAATGATTATGGTTATTAAAAATATGTCATATAGTTATTTTTAAAAAATTATTAAGAAGTATAATTTTATTTTATGATTTGTTAGATAAAATATAAAATATGTTTTTTTTTTAAGTTTATAAGATGTAAATAAGTTATATGTATTTATTAAACTTTTATATGAAAAATAAATTTAAGAATAACTTTTTTTTATAAATGATGATATAATTGATAAATTTATATATAAATCTATTATTTATTACAATTAAATTTTCCTTTAAATTTCATTTTACCATTGATAATATCAATTTCGCCTTGCCCTTCAAATCCATCCATCAATCCTTTAAAATTATTATTTTTACGAGTAAAATTTGAAATAGAACTAACATCACTAATTTCTTCATTGAAATTTGATCCAGATTCTTCGAGTCTTGTAAGTTCTGATGAGATATCATTAATATCAAATTCATCAAGTTCTTTTTTATGATATTTGGTAAAATGTTTTCTTAAATTTGTGTTAGAAGAATATCCAACAAAATGTGAATCACATATATTACAAAATAGTTTATTGGGATTATTAGGTTTAATATGAAATAATTTTTCTTTGATTTTTGGTTTCATTTTTTTTTTAATTTAAATTTGAAAATAATTTTATTTAAATAAATAAGATACATTAATAATGATAACAGATAAACAACCGTTAAATCTGTCCAGGATACTGCCAGGAACAGATAAACAACCGTTAAATCTGTCCGGGATACTGCCAGGAACAGATAAACAACCGTTAAATCTGTCCAGGATACTGCCAGGAACAGATAAACAACTGTTAAATCTGTCCGGGGCCAGGAACAGATAAACAACCGTTAAATCTGTCCGAGATCCAGTCAGGATTATCTTAGAAAAAATAAAATTGCTCAAAATATAATTAATTCCCATGATCGTCATCAAAAATATGATGAACATAATTAAACAACAAACATTTACAGTTCGGAATATTGTATTTAGATAATATTTTAAATTAAAAATAAATAGTTTAAAATTTTATCATTCGTAATTGTGACAATGATTTTAAAAAGATTTTTATTTGATAATTTTTTATTTATTTAATTTGATATGATAAATTATTGAATGATATTTTATTATATAAATAAGTAGAATTTTAGGATTTTTAAACAACAAAAAAAATGGGACCTGGTGTTGTTGTAATTATAGTATTAATTTGTTTGATTACTTTAACATCTCAAAGTAAACGTCGTACTTCTGATAGTTCATGTGATTTCAGTAAAAATAAAGATAAGAAAAATTTGGATTTTTAAAGAATGTTTCGATATTTGTTATCGTTACCGAACGAACTTATTGTCAAGATTATGAGAATTATATCTTTTGATATCATAAGATATATTGATAAAACGGATAGTAAATTACCAACAAATAATCATCCAAAGAAAGTTATCGATGGTTTACGTTTGATGAATAGATTATTTAAAGAGATTTTTGAATTAGTGTTTTTGGATGAATATTTCTTATATTTCAAGATAAAAGAATTCAAGAAAGAAGAATTGGAATCAAGATCAAAAGATTTTACAGATTATCATAAATATATGGAATGGAGAGAGTATAAACTATCATTTTTCTGGGAAATAATGATCATAAATTCATTTTGTAAATTAGGAGTTGATGATAAGATGGATGATTTTTTATTAAAATTACGTTGTTTTCGATATTATATTTTTTATAGTAAAAATTTTGATCCAACATATATCACATGTGAATATCCAAAAGATGAAGAGAAACTATTTGAAGGAAATTATGTTAATTTAAAAAAATCAAAGAAAGGAAATTATTATTATGTTTGTTCGAAAAAATCAATGATGGATACAAAATCTAGTTGGTGGTATGAAATATGTGATTTCCATCTTTATGAATATGATAAATATGAATATCAAAAAGAGAAAAAAAAACGATGTTATTGTATAGATTTCTACGAGAATGAACTGGTTCTTAGAAAATCAAAAAGGAAAAAATATCATTGGATGTGTAAAGAGAGAAAATGTAATTTTAGTTGTCATCAAGAAATAATTTGTTGTTTCTGTGGAAAACGTAATCATGATGAATATGAATGTTTAGATTTAAAAAGATTATTAAATGATAAATGATATATTTATGATTTATTTTTTTTATTTATCATTTAAAATTTATTTATTTATTTTTACACGTAAATATACATTATTAATAGTTTATATGTTATCAATAAAATTTTCATATGATTTAAATAAATATTAATTTCGATTATTAAAGATTAATAATTGATTTTATTTATAAATATTAAATAATCCAAAATAAAAGATCATTAAAAAAATTAAAATGTCTTTAATACACTCTAAATTATTTTTAGAATTATATTATAATGTTATCAATATTATAATATATGAAATATTTGAAGTAGATATTTTTTACATGAAAAAACCTGTTAAAACATTTTACGGAATTATACACACATGTAAAGATTTTTATACTTATTTTAGAATTGAATTCGCAAAAGAATTTTACAAAAAGTTTGATTTGAATGAAAGAATATTTCCTTTGAATTGTATTCGTAAAAATTGTAAGATAATAGGAAAAAGTATAGAAACTGAATATTGTGGGAGTCTTTGGGATTTGTTGAATTCATTCAAGAATGATTATTTTCAATTTGAAGAATATCATAATGATCTTCCAGTTGCTTTGTATAGATGTGAATACGAATATCATAAAAATAAATCTGTTAAAAAATATTTTGAAATATTAAGAAATATCAAATTATTTTTTTTCAAGATTCATGACTATCATGAAAATTATCAGGTTTTTTATGATGAAGGTGGACAATATGTTATTAAGTCAAATATTTATTCATTAGAAGGTGTTTTAGAGATTTTAGATAAATCTTCATATAAAAGAGAAAATAGCGAAATATTATATAATTTTTATTTGAAGTTAGATCCTTATCTCCCTATTCGTTATAAATTTTTATTTATATTTATCAATAATTATGTTAAATGTATAGGTATTGATATTACATTAAAAATTTGGCAAATTCTTCATTCATATTTAAAATTTTATTTGTTAAAATTATTAAAGAATGATTAATTCAAATAAAATATTTTATAAAATTTATTGAATTAATAATTGAATTTATTTATAAAATACAAGAAAATATTATTTTCAGAATTTAAGAAATTATTAAATTTTTATAAATATTATATTTTCTTTATTGAAATGTCAGAAAATTCTTTAATTGCGTAAATTCTTGTATTTGATTATAAGGCAATGGCGTTGAGTCACGTACTAATCAAAAGCTCTATGATGATATAATGTATTTATAAAATATATGTATTTTTTTTATAGGAAAAACGTATTAACGAAGCTTGTAAGAATTTTAAAAGTTTAGTGATGGAGAAATAGGAAAATGAAGAAAATTTTATCATTTTTGAAGATTATGATAGTGATGATTCTATCAATAATGACAGAGATAAAGATTTTATTAGAAAATATGAAGAATTTAATATTTTGGTTCGATGCAAATATAGAGAAAAAAATAAGATAAGTGTTATCGATATTGAGAGATTGGATTCGCTTAGAAAAAATTATCATAATGATCATATAGGTATTTTAGTTACGAATAAAGGTTATTCTAGAAATGCTAAAAGTGAGGCAAAAAAAATGAATATTCTTATGTGTAATACAGAAAATATGTTTAGAAATATCTTAAAGGAAATCAAAATTAGAAAAAAGAAAGAAGGAAATTATCAATCTCGAGAATTGGTAGTTCAAGTATCAAACGAATATTAAAAGATTTATCATATAATTTATTATTTAATTTATATATTGAATAAGATTTTAAATTATGTTTATTTATATGTTTTATAATTATTAATTATATAAGATAAATAAATATTTGATTTATGAGACGTAAAAATATATCATTGACAAATTATACGTATTTGATAAACAATATGCATTTGATAAACATAGTAAAAAAAAATATTTCTTTTTAAAGGTTTAAAAAATATTTGATTATTAATAATTTTAATAATTTTTTATTATATCATTAAATAAAAATAAATAATTTAAATATTAAAAACTGTCGTGATAGTCGTGAAAAAACACGATGAACACGACAATCCAAATTTTATTATTAGAGATAAATTTAAATAAAGATGATTATTTCTGAATTTATAAAGGCGTAATATTATTTTGATAAATATTATATATTTGATAGCTTTTATGCATATGATAGATAAAATTACTATGATCATTACTAAAAATTTAAAAATTGTGTGATAATAGTTTGGTAAACAATGCGTGTTTGATAACTTTATTACAAATTGATAATATATACAGATAAGAATATAATATAAATATAATAATTATTAATTAAAAAATTAATACGCTAAATATTCTTCATTGTACTTTTCTAAATCATTCCAAGTCCAAAGGTATTTAATATTAAATTCTTCACAATATTTATTTACTTCTTTAAGATAATGTTCAATTAATATTATATTTCTTTTATTAATATCTTCCACTAAATCTAATGTATTATTGATGTAATGATATTTATATCCTTCATTCCATCCATAAAAAGTGGATCTTATATGAAATTCAATCCAAGATAACAAACTATTCAACCTTTTATTTTTTGTTTCATTATATATTTTTAAAGAAGCATTTATAACTCTTTCTTCAATTAAATAGTCTTTAAAAGTTTTGTAATTGGTAAAGAAAATATATTCATTAGTTTTTATTTCTTTGAATTGATTATCTTCTTCGATCGATAATAAAGAGATTTCAAAAGAATTTTTTTTATTGTTAGTCAAACAAGATGACCAATTATTTTCTTGATAATTGTTCCAATTATCATTATTCCAATTATTATTTTGTTTTTTTAATAATTTATTAAATATTTTTTTAAAAAATTTCATTTTTTTTAACAATCAATGATTTTTCAAATTGTCGTCAGGATAGCAATTTATCATTTTATGTTTTATTTTTGTATTTATACAATGTTTTGAAATATAGATATTAGAAATATTAGAATTTTGTATTCAAAAGTTTATCCGTAAAAATTTAAAGTGACTTTGTTTATTTTATTTGTAAATGAGATACCAAAACAAGATATTTCTTTTTTAGTTATTATTAAAAAGATAAGAGAATATTTGATATTACATAATATATAAAATTAAAAATTAAAAAAAAAAATATCTGCAGAGATTTACTCAATTTTTGGGGTTGATCCGATTATTAAAAGTATATTCCTTTTTTGTTATTGGTCATTGATTTGGATTCATTAGAAATATTCTTGTTTCACGAATGTTATTTCTTACAAATTCTCGATATTTTTTCAATTCTTGATAATTTCTATGTTCTTGATACATGGTATGAAACACAAGAATCACAAGAGTTATTTCAATGATCACAGTCATGTTTTATTCCGATTTTTTTTTAAACTCATGACATAAAAGATTATCCTTTTAAAGATTTAATTTATTATTAATTATTGAGAATTTCGGAATCTAGAATTTATTTTCATTTATTTTTATTTGTTTTGTTTGATTACTAAAATCACAAAAGAATTTGTAAAAGAAATTTTATCTATTTGTTTCTATTTGGT